GGGTTGAACCAATGGCTCAAATCACCGCCAATTTAGAAGCCTCATTTTAAAAGATGCTTATAAACTCAATACCATTCAAGCTCTGTTTATACTTTTTTATTACATTGAAGTCAGGTGACGATCATGTATTTTATATCAAAACACCCTATGACAATCAAAATTATAACAAATGCTTAAAACACTGATCTAGTTACCCTTTCTAAGTGATTCCTCCAAGTCAGAATACTCCAATGTTTACACACAACAGAGCAAAACAGACTCCAAGCTGAAAGACTGCTGTTCTATGCCAAAAGCAAGGCATTTACAGGCTCAGGACACACTTGAAATATCTACAAATAATTCACACAAGTTAATTCACTTTTTAGGTGACTAAATGGCCTTAGCATCCAGTAGCTACTTGAAGAGGATAACTGCTAACTAAAGAATTCCCTTACATATCTCCCCATGACTGCAAGAGTGAAAGATATGCTTTAGTATGCTGGTGACTACCGCACTTGCTAGGTGACAGAGCTTGCTGTGGTCAAGCTTCAGATAAGTTCTAAGGGATGCAGCCTGATCCATAAAAAGTGGTTTGTGTGCAAACTGAGTATAGAAAGTTACCAGGCAAGTATGGCAGAGCTGGAGGCTAACTCTGCCTGACTGGCAGGGGTTACACAGGAGTTACACATCGTAAGACAGAATTAGACATATGAATCAGAATTTAAGGATTTACTCAAATTACTTTACAAGTATAAAGTACAATATTCTGTTTGATTATATGCTGATGTACTGTGCTTTTTACTAGACTTTGCCTACTCTGCTGCAATATCTAAACAAAAGTAAGACAAAGAGATGCAGAAGAAGGAATGTTTGAGCGTTTCAGGCAGCTGAATGCTGCTCTGGAAACTCAGGGGCTCCCTGCCTTATTATCCTGCTTCCCAAGAGATGCACAATACAGGCCTGACAGAGTGATAAGCTCTTTTGTTGGCTGCCACTGAAGTCTCTGCCAGCTCCTCCAGAATATATCAAGTGCTGTGTATTGTGATGCAGCCTGAAAAATCAGTTCCGAGGCATTTGAAATCAGACATCTGAAATTATTGGGCATATTTGATCATCACTTCTCCTGTGTCTTCTTTCCTTTTCTATTTAGTCAGGTTAACACCACCTGTTTTAGAGAGAAGTTGAAGGATATAACCTTGGCAACTTTGATAAGAAAGCCCTGTGTAGCAGGGCTTGTCTTTGTGTCATTAATAATGTTCATGCTTGCACTTTGCATAAGCAAGAAGAGAAGGACTCTTGTAAGGGCTACCTGTTCAATATACTTCGACTTGGGCAGGTACATGTCCACTGTCTGGGGACTGAAGCTGCAGAGGTGACCACCAGTGTGGGCATATCATGGATTATGGTTCTGCCACACTAATTCAGGTCTCGTACTGTGTCCCCTCTTCCCTTTACAGTCATACATGTGCGTATGTAGGTGCCCAGCCATGGATGTACATATGGACACAAGTAGCTCGCAAATGTTAATCTCAGATCTCAAGAGTCCAAAACTTAGGTCCACACAGGACCATCCCCAAGTGTCACATCATGTGCCCGAGAGTATATCCTAGGGGCTCCTCTGAAGTTCAGGGTGATAAAGAAACTGTCTGACTGCCATCTTCTGTGCAAAATTATTTCAGCAGAGAAGATCTGAAATTAAATAAGATAGGCAAGAACATTGAAGATGGAAGAAATCTTTTATAGTACTGCAAAAGTTTCAATTAACAAATGACAAATCCAGAAGCATCAGAGATTAATGTTCTTTAATACCCATAGTTCTCTCTCCTCCCCAAGTAATAATACCTCACAAAAGGTATTATTACCTTTTGAGACAAAGGTTTAGAAATAAAAATAGAGTAAGAAAAAGAAACCAACAGTTTGACAAATGTCTTATCTGGAGAATATATACCAAGGAAGAAAACTAAGTGAAACTATATGGAAAGACTTTGATAAAGCAAATAATTTCACAACAGTAAGTACGGAAATGTTAATGCATAGAGCAGGTCAGCATATATGCAAAAGTGAGAAATTACAATGCAAAGCAATACATGCGAACAAAGATGCTGCAGAGAATGAAGTTCCAAATCCAGACTGAAATATAATGTAACACCATAAATATCCACTGATCCCTGGTTTAAAACATTGTATCCAAAGTCTAGATCAAGAGTTTGAGTTACTGACTGTCCTAGCATTCAGTCTTTTTTATTAAATCAACAGTAGAACTCCCATAGACATCTGTAATACATGGAGAGGCCTCTTAAGAGTACTTTTGATACAACAGTGTATCTCCAGTGTCCTATACTCCATTTGTTCTTGGCACTTCAGTTTAACTCTTTCCTAGCTTTCTAGCTTCCCTTGGTTTTTCAGATATTTGAGGAAGGTTTGTTCTTTGGTCCATCTTCCTGTGTTCTCCAAAGCCTGCCTGAGTTTTTGAAAGACTGGGAAGAAAATATCATATAACAAATAAGGTGTTCCCTCTCAGCAGATAGGGAGAGGGTGGTTTCATTTAGTTTTAAGTTCTTCTGCAATAGTTGTCATGAGATCTTCCTTCTAGGAAGGAAGTAATGATTAATACATTTGTTAATTACAGATGTCCTAGAAGACACAGAAATATGTTGTTAATTATTTCAAATATATATTGCAAACACAAGAGCATGGTTACTGTAGGTGTTTGAGCTAAGCTAATTGCTTTGTAATTTTCAGATGCTGGCTGCCTTCCTTGTGAAAGACATAATTCTGAAAATCAAAAATATATTTAAATGGGCTAGCCTGGGACAGTCTATCTAATGATTTGGAAGAAGTTTTCCAGTTGCTAAATAGGGTTTTGTGACTTGGTAATCAGTTTCAGTTCTCAGGTATTTGTGAGACTGGAGACTTGTAATCAGGCTAGAGTCAGCTGGAGAAGTGAGTCAGGAAAATTTGAGGAATTACTGAGAGATACCATATGAAACAAATCAAACCTTTCTGGCTGTTGAAAACCTTTATCAGACTAGTCTTTACACAAGCCAGCACCCATATGTGCTTTCTCTGGCCTAATAAAAAGTGCAGCAGCTGAAAGGAGTGCTGTAGTTCTTAGACAGAATAGAACCGGTGAAGGGCAACCACATGGAGGTATAAAGTGTTGAGGGACAAGGGCTGAGGGTAGTGGTAGGTGTTGCAACAAACCTGACTGAGGGGATTGGGTGGGTTATGACGGAAGAAAGAGGGTTAGAAGCCATGGATGAGCACACTCATGCAGTCATCAGTTTAACATCAGTGAATGGGTGGGATGCTAATGGAAGATGGAAGCCCTTTGCAGTTGTGTGCTTGTAATTTTGTATTTTGGGAAACAAATGTAAACTCTGAGAAAGGGGCCCTTTATCAAGCACACCCCCAGAAGTGCTGCCTTTTAATTTCTAGCAGATTCTGCTAAATTTTCCTTCTTATAGTACTTTTTTCTCTTAGACCTCAGTTTCGTAACAAAATGAACATTACTACTTCTAACAGACAATAGAGGTCTTTAGACAGCTCAACTTTAGGTATAAACCAGATGATTTTTCACCACAAAAGGAGAAAGGTCCAAAGACCTTGTTTTGTCTGTGTTGTAGTGATACCAGCCATGATCTTTTCTTCTCTGAAAGCAAGAAGGAAGCAACTTGCTGTGTAGCCCAGGGTCAGCTTTTGACAACTGGAACCATTGAACTGAATATGCTTCTTATTAAAATGAAAAAATGTCCAATTATATTTTAATGTTGATTCATAACACTGAGTTTGGTACGTGCTAGATAAGAACCAAAGCATGCCTTTGCCCAGTGGGATGGGGAGGGTCAGGTCAGCTGTGGAGTTACAAGTACAGCATACACCAGACCACAGATTTTATGAATCCTGTATCCCTACAAGGCTGAAGGGCCTCCTCTGAGAAAATCTCCTCTGAGATTTTCCACTGATCAAGCACTGTCAGGTTTTCATACTACATATCGGATGCTGACAAAAGGAGTTGTAGTGTTGATATGTTTTTCCTTTATGGTCTCTGAGTTAACTGCTCTAGCTGCACTCAAGCCATTTGCAGGTGTCCTGGATTTTTTGCATTTCATTCAGTGATAAATAATGCTATACGAGTAGATTATTTCACATTTTCCGATTTCAAGGAGCAGTGCCTTTGCAGAAATACTAGCAATCCCCTCCAGCAGAGTTAGCTGATAACCAGAATTTGCAACTTTTAGAAAGTACAACAGTATAAGAATATTTCAGTTTTGCTTGGGAAGAAAAGAATTGGTAGTTCATAAAGGTAGCTATGACATTTTCAACTTGAAAAAATCTAAGTTATTCCTTCAGAATTTGCTAAAAGTCACAGAGAGTTGTGTGTGGTCCTGGGGACCCAGTGATTCTTGATATCTCCCATGCTGTCCCTCTCTGATAAAGTCCCGTGGGAAGTCCAGGGGGTCCCCAAACATGCGACTTCCGAGTAGAAAACTGAGACAGGCTTCAGAGGAGCCAGCCCAAATTACCTAAAAATCTAGCTATTTGTGCAGAATAGTTTCATTTTGCCATACCAACATTCGCTGAACTGAACCAGTTCAATCGTCAAACTTCACCCTGGTTCCTTCTACTCCCAGGAGTTTCCAGAAGCATTCCCCTGCTCCGTGCCCCAGGGTCTGGCTCCCCTTCTCCCAGCCAAACCAGATAAAAACCTTCTCCTCACGTTCACCAGCAAAATCCGAGCTCTGCCGTAGCGGGCATGGACGTGGGACTCCTCATCCTGCCGTGCTCCTCTAGGTGGGGTAGGCGAGTTTCCGCAGAGAGCAGAGCCCGCTCCGGCGCCCGCGGCTCTACCAAACTTCGCAGAAGACAGCGAGGGGAAGAAGTTATTGGGGAGCCCCTCCAAGCCTGCGAAGGGGGCGCGGGGCCGTCGGCTGGCGGCTCCGGGGAGTTTGGGCTCCCTGAGACCCAACTGGGAACATTAATGACAAGCTCTGCGAGCGGAGGAGACGCGCGGTGGCTGCGCCTGAGCCTCGGCACCTGTGAGAGCCCGAGCAGGCGGGTACCCCGCGCCCTGTGCCCGCCGGAGGAGCTCTGCTCCGGGCTTCGGAGGTGGTGATCCCATCTGCGCAAGGTAGGCTCATGGCTGCTGCCTCTCCCCAGAGCCAGCCTGGCTCCGGTAGGGGATCCACTCTGTCGTGGGGATGTCACTGAGAGCTGTGTCTGGAAATTGTGTTGGGTTTAGGTTTAGTTTGAACGAGTTCTTCCATTCAGTGGATTTCTCTGTTCCTGGCACTGGAGTAAAGAGCCGCTTTTTTTCCTGTGAATGCTAGAAAGTAGCTACAGTTCCTGGTAGTGTCTTTGATTAGAAGTTAAAGTTTCTACACATAGAATGTGTTGTAGACTTTTTTATTATTAGAAGTACGGATGTTCTGACCAGTTCCCAAACTCTAGAGGATCCAGTGCGTTTTTTTATTTCAGTAGAAGTACATACTTCTCCAGACGATAGTGGAACTGTTGTTTTGGGGTTTGTGTTAACATTGCAAGCTAATTTGCCTGTACTTCTTTACACTGCTACTATACTCTTGAAATCACAACCAACTCCGTAAGATTGGTAGTGTTGTGGCTGACTCCATATGCTTGTGAATAGACGTTCGTAGCATGCCAGTTTTAATTTTCCCTGCTTCCACAATCTTGTTGGAAAAGGATACTGTGGGACTGAGGTCCAGAGAGGAAAGCGGGCTGCTGCCCACACTGAGGAGTATCTGGGCAGCAGTGGCATTGCATATGTGCTCTAAGCACAGTACACTGTAGCCATAAGTAGTGCCAAAGTAGCTTTGAAATGTCCAGCTCAGCTACATCTGGGGGAGCAGAGAGCTCAGCCAGGACTGCAAAACTTGCTCCAACACTAAAGTGGCCTGTGTGAGCCTTGCATGACTATGAAAGATTGTCATTGGTACTGAGCATGGTGTTGTTAGCTGCTGCTGCCACAGCTACAGCACTGATACTGTGGATTAGAAAAAGTGCAGCTAGTCACTTTGCCTACAAGAAAGGTGATTTCGTTCTTTCAACCAGTGGAGCTTTAGATATTATATGAAGGGGCACTGGATGGCACTTTGGATCTGTCACCATGGGATGACAGGTGAGATCCTCATCAATAGTATAACAATGCCAAGGAGCTTAGTGATCACTGCCTCCTTAGAGTACCACCCCAAACCTCTTTATATGCCTCAAGCTACAGGGAAAGCTTTCACACCTCTGGCTGCCATTCGTTCCACTAGACAAGGCCGATGGCTACTGCTGCCACTCCTCTACAGCAGAAGTGGGAGATGATGTTGTGCACTGGAGTTTTGAATTATAGATCTTGAAATGTTTTGGCAAGTGGTGGAAATCTCTGGCAACTCTATAAGAAAAATCATGGGAGATCACAAATTTTAAAAGGAAATTAATGTGATAGTGCAGAGTAGGGTCAAACCCCTTGACTATGATCTGGATTGCTCAGTTCTTTGTTCTTTTCTCTCAGAAATTTCTAAGATGTAGAAAGTGAAAAGAAAAAGAAGTTTAGGCATCCTCTATCAATGAGCAACACTGATAAGAAATTATTTTTGAAATTAAAAAAGACAAGAACAGACAAATAAAGGAAATGTGTTCAGCAGCACCCTGTTTGACTCCACACCACTCAGTGGGAACAATTTCACCTTCAAGTAAGCTCCCATGAGGAAAATTTCACTGGCCATGACTGATGAGGCTGAAGGTGTTACCAGAGCTTGGCCCAGCTCTGCTGGTTTGTAGGGTACAGCGTAGTTGTGTTGCTGTTTGCAATAATGTAGTCTGGCCACAACAAAGAGCTCAGATGAGAATGTGCCCAGAAAAAGCCAGCAGGCTTTTTTTTTCTTAATAGATAGATAGCTTTTACAGAAAACCGCTGGCATAAATAGGTTGCTTTTTCTCTATTGCAGCTAGATGGAAAACATGTTTTAATTTTCAAGGCATCGTACTGAATTGTATGCCATGGAAATCATCTCATGGAAAAAACTGAATGCAGTTTTACCATAGAGGTGTTTAGAATTCTTCTGAAAATGGCTTCACATGAAACATTTCAACTTTATGTGTAAAGGTGACATTTCTTGGAGGACTGGAATGTTTTAACATAGTCTACAATTTCTAACTGAACCCATATAGCTGTGCTAGATAAATGGTCCAAGTCTCAGTTTTCAAAAAATAGCAGCATAAACTTTTGAAGATTAGATTAATATTAAGATAATGTTTTTCTTATGTTGTCATCAGTGGAGGAATTCCCCTCTAATATCCTCAACATAGTTGTTTCCTTTAACCATGTTAGAATGGAACTGGGTCTCAGATGATATCTATGCTGCCTCTCTTTTTTGCTAAAGAGTAGATAAATTGCAATGAGAGCTAGTGCCTATAGCAGAATAACCAGAGAGGTGCCAGCATGGCCCCACCCTACATGAGTCATTGGTGAGGAGCTGAGTGTAGATCAGCCTTTCTATTCACTCCTGTAAAAGGTATCTCATTTCTCCCTCTGGTTATTCTGAAACCAGGCCTTTACTGCCTTCTGGTGCTCTCATGACCCTCAAGACCCAATATATTTTTTATGATGTAGTAGAAGATAACAGGTACCTCTTTTTATCCCACAGCTCCTGAAGAGGCAGTTCTTGTTGGGGAAAACCCTTCTTTCCTAATATGTAGAAAAGTTCTGGCCAGTGTGTCAATAGGGCAGGGAGTTGTTTGCAAAAACAGAGACACTTTCTTACCATGTATATTCCAAGAAGGTACACCCTATAAAGAATTAGATATTACTGAACAAGGATGGGATTGTGACATGTAAGACTGTCCACCTTGGCAAGTATAATTGACCTATGCCGAAGGTCACTGCGTGGACAAAATGTTTGGCTATAATTTTACCAGAAAACTAAGAACCTGCCTTCATACAGCAGAAGACTAGAACATCTAAAGATTATTTGGAGGCCAAGTAACTTGTTGTTCTTTTGTTTGATTTATCACTCATCCAGCTCTACAACAAATGAACTGAGATGCTGCACCCATTCAGTCAATGGCAGAACTCCCACAAGGGTGGTGTGTCCAGCTCTTGCTGACTCTGTGGCAACATTCAGTAATCAAACACTGTTTCCTGAACCATGTTAGCTTTGCACACATTTCTTCTGACTTGACATAGATCAGATTTTCCAGTTTCTTCCCACCAGGGAAATCGGAACAAAATAGAGAGGAAGTTCTTTTTAAATTTAGACATCCATTAGAAACAAAAGAATAAACGACAAACAAAGACTATTTAAAAGCATTATCTACTATTGTCTTTTGAAGAAGTTAAAGCTTTGCCAGTGGATTTTCAAATCTCTGCAGAGATGGAGTCAGAGCCACATCCTCCTGATCTGACATTAGTGAGTGCTGGTTTTGAACTGTCAGAAGTGGCGTTGTGTGAAGTTAAGCCACAATGCTTGAGCTGAATCACCCGCCATGAATCTAACAACAGGTTTTACATTGACACGTTTCCACATTAGCATAACGTCTGACCGTCTGCAGTGCAAAACCAATAGCAAAGTGCCTGGTAGACTTCATAGAGTTTCTGGCATTTGTTCTTTTTTAGACTCGGTTCTGCAGAGCTGAGGATTTTTTTGATTCAGTGCCTTAAATTCTTCCTGTTTCCTTTCTGGGAGGGAATGACTAGTAAGATTTTATGTGGCCGAAGGGACTACCAGAGCTATGTCAGTTTTACAGCAGAAAGACTTTTTGAGGAGATTGATGTTGCCCCATTCCCTGTCCCACAGGAAACCTCTCCAGCAGTTGGTGGTATCTCAGCTGACCCTTACCTGACTTGAGCATAGGAGGCTAGGAGGGTCTCGATGACCCAGCTGTCCAGGGGCCTGCTTTGATAATAAACGTGTGGGGTAAATTGTGTTTTGAGAATGTTACTTAGGTACAATCAATGGCTACTTGGAAATTGGGGACGAAAAGCAAAAGAGTTTATAACATATAGCTTGACTACACTTGTGTCATCCTGCAATGTTGATAGACCTGAGACCCTTTTGATTTTTAGGCCAAGATCAATGTAGTTGCTAACCTCCAGCATCCAGCCCTTCCTAACCAATCTTCTACTGGAACCTGGCATAGAAAGATACATGAGCTCCAGTTTCTCACTTTATCTCCACTGTGCAAGTGCTGGTGGATGTATATCCCCTGCAGATCACGATAATGAATCTCTGGTTCATTAGGCTTTATAGCCAGCACCTGGTACTGCAAAACTTGGCTGCATCCAAATCCAAGCCAACTCTTTGGTAAGAAGGAACCCTGGAAAGATTCACTCTTTTTCCCACCTCCCCTGGAGGTTGTGTTGTACATGAAGACCAGCCTTTATCCTCTGTTCAGCCATGTAACAGGCTGGGGACCAAAGCAGAAACATATGGCCAAGTGCTGAGAGAGCTTTTAGTTCTGACAGTTCATGCATCTCTTCCTTTGGATATATCACAAACAAAAACTACTGAAGTGCCAGTTAAGCAGCATACAATCATTTACAGATTGACTGTCATGATTTTTCTTTTAATTTTAAGCAAGAACCATTTTAATAGTTCAGGATTAGATATTTCTAATTACCGAGGGTAAAAGTATGCATTCCTATGATGTGCTCCATTTTTCTTTCACAACTGTATGCACTCTCCATTGCTTGGGAGATGGACCCAGGAGGGAAAGAGATCTGTATAGTAATAGCTGATAAATTGAGGTTTTCTAGAAATTGACTTCTGTCATTTGAAAGAAGAAGACTAAAAGACCCTGTGCATCCAGATCACAAATCTTGGAAGAGAAACACTGGGACTGCAAAAATGATATCAAAGGCTAAAATAGGCAGAATCTGTTAAAATACTTGATGCTGGTTTATAGCCTGCATTAGTTAGGAACTATGAAACAGACAGCATCCTCAGACAGGGGAGAGTTCAATTTGCCACTTATAACAAAGAGGAGCTTGAAATTACCATCCTAAAGTAACATTTCTCTTCCTATCAGAGTCAACTAAAGAGAAAAGGCTGGGGACATGTTCTCTTTTTGTCCCTTGAGATTTAGCGATTTCTTCTCTTGGTGGGTAGCTGGTGACAATGAGTC